TTTAATCACATTTTACTTACTCTGCAGAGGCTTTCTTTTATTTTATTTATATGAACATATTTTTTTTTACCTCACTAAAGTTCTTGCCTGATTATTCTAGGGTCTGGGTCATCTCAGGCATTGGCATCTGTTGATTATCTTTTCCCTTGAGGATTTTTGCATATGTAGTAATTTTAAATATTTTAAGTATATCTTGAATATTGTGAATGTTGTATTGTGTAGACCCAGTTTTTAAAAAATATTTTTTCTAAAATTGTTGATAATTTTACACTATCAGGAAATGAACTTGATTAGACTTAGACCATCACTGTCATACCTGCAGTTGGCCACACCTCAGATGTCAGTACACCTCTTTAAGCCTTAATTGCAAGCCACATTTAGTTTGTTCTGCACATTTGTAGTTGATGATTTAGCAAGAGACTAGTGTTAATTTTAAACAGAAAATGAGGCATTCTTTTCCAGCTTTTTCCTTTCCAAGGATCACTTCTCATTCTCCAGCAACCCTACCCTACTACTACTACTACTACTACTACTACTACTACTACTACTGTGGCCTTGTCATTGTCCTCTTTAATCTGACTTATCCAGTCTCCTACCCTATATGGTATTTTTCTAAATTTAAATCCTTAGCCACATTTTTCATTACTTTTTCATTTTTCATCACTGGTTTCTGCGGGGGGCCAGCCCCTGCAAGTCTTGGAAGATGTGATGGCGTTGGTGAATCTGTAGGGACAGATATTAAAAGAAAGAAAGATGGAGGGATAGATATAAAGAGGAAGAAAGAGAAAGAAAGAAAGTGGACAACTGTTCAGTGAAATGAGCAGAAGCCGTTTATTGAAAGTTACAGCAGGTGTTTATCTCCAAATTTTACACAATCTCACAAGTCTTTCACGTGAACACAAAGCCAGGTGCAGGAGGGGCGTCCCCCACCCACCAGATGTTTTCTTAGGTATGAGGAGGGACAAACCCCAAGATTGTCTTATTGTTCCCTTTGCCAGTTAATGCTCTTCAAAGGCAGTGCAACAATCCTTACTAGCATAATGATGTTCTGATAATCAATAACTTCTAAAGCTCACACACACACAATACCCATGATGACTAACTTAAACTTTATTACCTTTCTATTCTATGCTAATACTACTTACACAATGCTACAGAAGCTCTTAGTTATAGCTTAAGCCAATTCCTAAAGAATGTGGCCCAGTCCAAAGATCACGCTGGGCTCTACAGGATGTGGCCCAGTCCAAGGTTCATGGTGGGCCACCTTTTGGAACAATAGACTACAATCTCTTAACAAAATGGCTTTTCTAAAGTCCTATATATCTATCCTAATTTCTATGAAAGTTTCTAATTCCTAATCCTAATATATAAAGCTGATCATCAGCAATAAACCTTCTAAAAATAAATCCCAAATATAAACTGTAAATGTACTAAGGCCAAAACCACAATAGTAGAAAATGGAGACAATGAAATTTCTAAAGTTAACTGTATTCTTATTAAACCTCAAAATATCATGATTGATCATGCTTGAACTAACATAATTCCCTGATGTTAGCATGACCCATTCTACAATACTTTCTATGAATAAAATAAATTCAATTTCTACAATAGGTAGAAAAACCCTACACTAACTGTAGCTAAAGCCAGCCTAAAAGAATGCAGCCCAGTCCAAAGTACATGCTGGTCCCTCAGGAATGTGGCCCAGCCCAAGGTTTGTGCTGGGCCATTTCTAGTAACTCTAGATAACCATCTAAAGCTGAAAACAGCTCTCCATAGGTATATACTAATTCTACAAATATACTTTTAAATCTTATAAAGAAGCTTGTACCGTATAAAAGGTTCCCAAATGTGACCTGAATTTGAATTATATCTAATACCTAAGCCAAAACCGCAGTTTTATGGGAAACGGGAACAATGAGTTTCTAGAGGGAGCCATGCCTGTCACAGTCACAGAGCCTTCAGCTTAGATCAGCAGAGTTCCTTTAGGTTACTTGCACTACATGGTAAAAGGAGGAGGAAAATGGGGTCAACGGCTCTCGAACACATCCTACTGGTCTCGGGGTCCACGGCCTTCCCTGATCCCTAATGCTCAGTGGGCCTCCATGGCCGGCTCCCAACAGGTTTCCTAGAATCTTTAGGATAAATTCCCAACTCCTTAGCAGCCCACACACTTGCTGCCTGTCTCTTCCACATAGGTAGGCACTTATACTCTCTATATGTGCTGAATACTTTACAGTTTCCCACGTGCATTAACTCCTGTGTCTTTAAGCAGATATGCTCCCAGCTCCAGCCATCTTCACTTGGCTTTTACCTGTTTGTTCTTTGAAATTCAGTTCAAGCAAAATCTTTTGTTTGCCATATCCTCTCAGTATAAGTTGGAGGTCCCTTCCATGAGCCCGCAGCTCTATAGTAGATATATCACTAAATGATGAGCATCCCAAATCTAGAAATCTGAACTCTAAACTATACCAAAATCTAAAACTTTGTGAGCACCAGCATGATATGGAAAGGATATACTCATTTTTCAGATTTGGGGTATGAGATGTGGGTTACTAAACCTGTATAATGCAGATATTCCCAAATCTGAAAAAATCCGAAGTCCAGAACGCTTCTGATGCCAAGCATTTCAGATAATGGACACTCAGCCAGTACAACTTTTTATCTATCATCACTAGACTGTGAGCTCCTGTATGGAAGGCAAACTGTCTACACACACACACACACACATGCACACTCACACTCAATCCTGTATATAGTATGTTTATTTTTACCAGAGATTAAGGTTAAGAATTTAACGAATACGGGTCTTATTTAGCCTTTCCTCATTGGTTTTGATCATTTGTGTGAGCCAAAACTCTCTGTCTTCATCATATGTGTCTTTGAAGCATATATATTTACATTTTTTATTTTGAGTATTTTGAGGCTTTATTTTCACACTAAAAACCCTTGACTAAGGAAGGACTTGGATCTTACGTAAAGGAACCAATGATTGCACCTCACCATAGAACAGTTTCTCGGCCTTGGCACTTTTAACATTTGGGGCTGGGTAATGCAGGGACTATCCTGTGTGCCATTGGATGTTTAGCAGCATCTCTGTCCTCTATCCATTAGATGCTAGTAGCAAACTTTTCCCTCCTTCACCAACTGTGACAATCAAAAATGTCTCTAAACGTTGCCAAATGCTCCTCAGGGAGCAAATTTGCCGTGGTTGAGAATCACTGTAGGACTTTTTTCTTTTTTTCCTTTTGAATCTTTTTTTTTTTAATTTTTTATTTTGAAGGTAGGGAGTACAATTCAGGGTTAGGTATATAAATGTTCAGTATGCAGGTACCCTTGTTGATGAGGTGTGCACCCCCACCACCTGGCAGTTTCCAACTGCTGCCAATCTTTCTTATAGTATTATGATAATGGCTCAAGGTCCACTTGTGAGTGAGAACATGTGGTAGTCAGTTTTTTGTTTTTGTGATAGAGCACTCAGAATTATAGACTCCATCCAAGTTGCTGTGAAATTCATAATTTTGTTCTTCTTTGTGGCTGTACAATATTCTATCATGTGTATGTACAACATTGTTTTTATCCAGTCCTCTTTTGATGGATAGCATGGTTGGTTTCATGTTTTTGCTATTGTGAATAATGCTGCAATTAACATAAATGTGCAGGTATCTTTTTCATAGAATGATTTGAGTCCCTCCGGGTATATTCCCAGTAGGGGGATTGTGGCGTCACATGGAAGGCTGATTTTCGAATCTTTTAGGAATCGCCAAACTGTTTTCCACAGAGGCTTACTAGTTTACACTCCTACCAACAGTGTAGAAGTATTCCCTTTTCCCTGCATCCTCTCCAGCCTCTGTTGTTTTTTTGAGTTATTGATGATGGCTATCCTGACTCAGTGTGGTTTTAATTTGCATTTCTTTGATGGCTAGAATTTTCAACAGAAACCTAACTCATGAAATGCCCAACTGTCCTGCCCTGTAAGAATTATCAGTGGCTGGACACGGTGGCTCATGCCTATAATCCCAGCACTTTGGAAGGCCAAGGTGAGAGGATTGCCTGAGCTCACGGATCTGAGACTATCTTGGTCAACTTGGCGATCTCTATAATAAATCAAAAAATTAGCCGGGTGTGGTGGCACATGCCTGTAGTTCCAGCTACTTGGAAGGCTGAGGCGGAAGGATCACCTGAGGCCAGCAGGTTGAGGTAGCGGTGGCCATGAGTGTGCCACTGCACTCTATCTTGGGCAACAGAGTGAGACTCCAACTCAAAAAAAAAAATTATCAGTATATTTATTATATTCACTCTGGTTAAAAATATATGATGAGGCCAGGCACCATAGTTCACACCTATAATCCCAGCAGTTTAGGAAGCTGAGACAGGAGGAGTGCTTGAACCAAGAGTTTGAGACCAGCCTGGGCAACATAGTGAGACTTCATCTCTACAAAAAAATTTAAAAATTAGCCAGACCTGGTGGTGCACACCTGTAGTACTAGCTCCTCAGGAGGTTGAGGTGACAGGATCGCCTGAGCCCAGGAAGTCGAGGCTATGGTGAGTTGTGATCATACCACTGCACTCCAGCCTAGGTGACAAGAATGAGACCTGACTCCAAAAAAAAAAAAAAAAATGATGTTTCAGTTTTTAAAGAGTTACTGTTGGTCTTGCCTCACTCTTTTGAGAAACTTAAATGTGTTCACTTGACCTTTACTTTATAAGTGAAACTATCCCTCTCCTCTCACAGACGCCTTCTTTTCTCCATGGCTCCTTTAACCACTTAACCTCGAGAGGTGTGGGGATGTTGAAATCTTTTAGTGTCATATTCTTCATATGCTAAACTTTAAAATCATTAGTGACGGTGGTTAGGGAGAGGATCAGACTTCTGTTGAGTTAACTAAGTATAGTTTGCATTTGATATAATATGAAAACTGTCAACCACAGAGTTTCTCACATCTCAGATTTCTTTGTGTTGGCTTTCTTTAATTTTACCTTTCCTTCCTCCCTCTTTTCAGGTGATCCACGCTCTTATGGGAAATGCTGTGCAGCCCTTACTGACTTCTGTGGGAGATGCTATCGAGGCCATCATTATCACCATGCATCAAGAAGATTTTTCTGGGTAATAAACTTCTAACCACATTTTTTCTGACTTTTACTGCCTTCCTTTTTTATTTCCACCTCTACCCTTATTCCCTAAGCCCCCTACGTCCTAGGGCCTGTTCCTTTTGTGATGGCGCCCAGCCATCTCCTGCTTTATCTATTGTGGGCACTATTATTAACACATTGAAATTCCTCAGTTCTTGTTTTCATCATTTCTCTCTGAAATGTAGGATGTACTGAAACATAGGATGAGTCTGGGGTCTCAGCTCAGCACTTGAGGACTTTGGTAGTTTGTACTGTCTTCCCTTTCCAATCTTGTCTTTTTCCTTACTTCTCACAGATAGCTCTCTCCTTCAGCCTCTGTGTTGCTCTTTGGCATAGGCGTGATATTTCTTGTATATAATGTCCTTCCTCTGCCACCATACAATTCCAAATGCTGCTCTGGCTTCAAGGGCAAACTCCTGGCCAAGCCCCTCCAGGGTTGATTTTTCTTCCTCAGGGTTTCTGTGGCAATCTGATCATATCACACCTAGTCACAAACACTGGGGTCTTATTCCATAGCTGTTTCATAAGAGTAAAATGGCTTTGTATTCGAAAATGATGGAGAAGTGCAAATCATTATTTGCACATACTTGGAGTGACTTTAAAAAAAACTTTTTTTAAACTGTAACCACACTCTAAATCTAAACATTCAAATATTAATATTTAGATATTTATTTTATATTCCTGGATTTATGGTTGGCATTTTTGAACTGTCCTGTTCCTCTTTATATTCACATTGTTTAAAAGAATAATTATTTTGTGAAATACACAACCACTAGTTTAGCTATTTGTAGAAAAATGCTGATTATTTCATTGTCCTCTAATTTTTAAAATTATTTATAATTATATTTACATAGTATATTTTGAATTGTCAAAATGTCAGTCTCTATTTTAAAAATAGAGAAAATGGTATAAAACATAGAAGCATAAAGTGAATTCTACCCAATAAATGCTATATTTAGAGCTCAGTAGGAAACAGGAGTATACAATTGCTGATTACCAATATTTGGAAGGAAATAGATTTGTTCAAAATGACCTGAAATGTCCCAATTAGACCAATCATAAATGCCTCTGAAAAGGGAGCCAAAATGAGGTAATCTTTGAAGGCTTACTCTATAATACTAGGGATCATATACTTTAGTATTTTAATTGGTAAACTGTAATTAGTGCTTGCAGATAACATATTAGACATAATCGCTGAAAGTTTGCTTCCCAAAATAGGTGTGTTTTAACTGGTTTGCTTAAATACTAGTGAGTCAAATTCGTTCTTTAACTGATAGAGTGCCATAAGTATGAAGCATTATTTTAAGGTCCATAGCATTGTCCTTATTTTTTTCTTCCTCAGAGGGCTTTTGGTGACTCTATTTCAACTCAAAGTCATTTGAGATTCCAGTGAAAATTATTCTCCATATGTGGCAGCATAGGACTATAGAGCATTTTTGCTTTTATTTAAAGTTTTGCTTGAGTAATTTTCCCACTTTCTAGAACCCTATTATTAATAATTCTGTCATGCCATTTCATATATACATATGGCTTATATGAAATACAAGGTGAATTTAGATTAAACAATTCAAGAAGAAGGAATCACTATATATTAGGGCCAGCCCCGAGGTCTAACAATTAGAAAAATAATAGTAAGCACCTGTCCTTTCAAGCCATCCACACCTATTCTTAGGTAAAAGGAATAAATCAAGTTACTTTCTACACCAACCTTCTATATAGTGTGATTACAGAATCCCCTATTATCATCAACATGGTTTCTTGGTACTTGAAATTTATTTAAAAGGACCAGTGTGTTTTTTTCCAAATGAGATAAAGCTTATAATGTCAATGACTGATTGCCTTAACACATTGATTAAGATTCTTCATTTGATGTAAAATGACTCATGTCTGATTACAGTTTTGCATGGGGCAGTGAAAGCAGAACCCTCAATTGTTGGAGTGATGGATGAGCCCCTCTGTGGAGCAGGGGAGAGTTGCACAAATGTGGCTTAAAGTTGAACACCTACTGCTTCTCAATTGTGCATATGTTTAGTCCTTCTCTCTTAAACTTCTGCAAAAGGCTATCATTATACAGACCCTAAAGTTTTGCACAATTCCCTATTGTACTTTACAGTTGAAAGCCTTTACAGTTGAAAGGCTTTTGTTTAACTGGGAAAACTGAGCCTTAGCAGCTGCCAGAAAATTTGTATTCAGGTAAATTTAAATCAAGTTTTTAATACACAATGAGATTGGATTTTATATATGTATATAATCTAATAGGTCATTTTATTACATTTTTATTTTGCTTTACTTATTTTACTTATATTTTACTTATTTTAGTGATATTGACACATACTCATGCAACTGGTATTTGTATATTATTTTCTACTCCCCAAGGAAATCATTTCAACTAACCAGATAAAATTCTAGGTATGATTCACCAGAGTGGTACCAAGATAACACTGTGCTTTTGGCAAAGCATAAGAAGATATGAAATGCCAGCTACATTCTTCCTACAAGAGATTTTCCTCATCATTAGGAGAACATAGACTAAAAGTGGAGGAATGGAACAAGATATTCCATTCAAAGTAAAACCAAAAGAGAGCAGGGATAGTTATACTTTTATATCAGATAAAATAAATTTTAAGTCAAAAACTGCAAAACAGGCCAAAGGTCATTATATAATGAAGTCACCTTATCAAGAGGCTATAACAGTTGTAAATATATATGTATTCATCAATGGAACACATAAATATATAAAACAAATAATAAAGATCTAAAAGGACAGATAGATTGCAATATAGTAGAAGACTATATTACCCTACTTTCAACAATGGACAGGTCATCCAGACAGAAAGCTAATAAGGAAACATTGCACTTGAACTATATTCTGAACCAAATGTACCTAACAGGCATATACAGAACATTCTATCCAGCAGCAAGAGAATAAATGTCTCCTCAAGTGCACATGAAACTTACTTCAGGATACATCATATGTTAAGGCCACTAAACAGGTCTGAACAAATATAAGAGAATTTAAATCATATCAAGTACCTTTTCTGATCACAGTGGTGTGAAACTAGATGTCAGTAGTGGAGAAATCTTGGAAAAGTCACAAATACGTGGAAATTAAACCACATGCTTGTGAACAATCAGTGGGTCAAAGGAGAAATCAAAAGGGAAATAAAAAAATATATGGAACAAATGAAAGTGTAAAACACAACATACCAAAACCTATGAGATGTAGCAAAAGATGGAAATTTATGGCAATAAATGCTTAAATCAAAAAAAGAGGAGACATCTCAAATAAACAACCTAATTTATACCCCAAGGAACTACAAAAAAAGAACAAACAAACCCAAAGGTAGCAGAAGGAAAAAAATGACAAAGATCAGAACATAAATAAATGAAATAGAGACCAAAAAAAGGAAAAATAGAAAAAATTCACAAAACCAAGAATTTTTTTTAAAAAAGACAAAATCAACAAATCCTTAGCTAGACTAAGAAAGATAGAAGACTCAAATAAAATCAGAAATGAAGGAAGAGACTTTACAACTGATACCACAAAAATACTATGAATCATAGAGATTACTATGAACAATTTTAAGGCCACTAATTCAGTAACCTAACCAAAAAAAAAAGGATGAATTTCTAGACACATATCAATAGTGAACTAAAAAGAAATAGAAAATCTGGACAAACTAATGACTAATAAGGAGATTGAATCAGTAATAAAATGTTTCTCATCAAAGAATAGCCCAAGATCTGATGGCTTCATGGGTGAATTCTACTAAAGATTTAAAGAACTAATTAATGCTAATCCTTCTTGTACTCTTCCAGAAAATCAAAGAAGAGGGAATACTTCTGAAGTCTTTTTAAAAGGCCAGTATCACTCTGGTATCAAAGCCAAATAAGGACATTACAAGAAAAGAAAATGACAGGACAATATTCTTGATGAACATAGATGCAAAAGTCCTTAACAAATGTACTAGCAAACCTATCAACAGCACATTAAAAGGATCAGTCACTAGCTGGGCTCAGTGGCTCAGCCTGTAATCCCACGCTTTGAGAGGCCGAGGTGAGTGAATTGCCTGACCCCACGGGTTCGAGACCTGCCCAGGCAACTTGGCGAGACCTCATCTCTACAATAAATCAAAAATTAGCTGGGTGTGGTAGCGCGTACCTGTAGTTCTGTCTACTTGGAAGGCTGAGGCCGAAGGATCACCGGACCCCAGCAGGTTGAGGCTACAGTGGCTGGGAGCATGCTATTGCACTCCAGTCTGAGCAACAGAGTGAGACTCCAACTCAAAAAAAAAAAGGATCAGTCACCACAATCAGGTGGGATTTATCCTTGAGATGTAAGAATGGGTCAACATATACAAATCTATAAATATGACACATTATATTAACAGAATGAAGGACAAAAACTGTATGAACATTTTATTAGATGCAGAAAAAGCATTTGACAAAATTTGACACTTTCATAAGAAAAATTCTCAACCATTTGTGTATGGAAGACATGTACCTCAACACCATAAAGACCATTTATAACAAGGCCACAGCTACCATTATACTCAGTGGTGAAGAGTTGAAAGTTTTTCCTTTAAGATCAGGAGCAAGACTAGGATGCCCATGGATACCACTTCTATTCAATATTTTACTGGAATTTCTTGCCAGAACAAGTAATCAAGTAAAGAAAAAGGCATCCAAATAGGAAATGAAGTTGTGAGATTATCACTGTTTGCTGACAGCATGATCTTATATAGAAAACCCTGAAGACTACTAAAAAACTGTTATAAGTAATAAATACATCAAAGTACAGGATACAGAATTAACAGTTATACATTAACAATGAACTGTCTGAAAAAGAAAACTATGTATAACAGCTACAGAAAATATAAAATACTTAAGAATAAATTTAACCAACAAGGTGAAAGATCTATACACTGAAAACTATAAAACATTGATGAAAGAAGTTAACAAAGACACAAATAATTGAAGAGATATTCCATGTTCATGGATTGGAAGACAAAATATTGTTAAAATGTCTGTATTACCCAAAGTGATTGTAGATTCAGTGCAATCCCTATCAAAAGTCCAATGTTATTTTTCACAGAAATTTAAAATATTCTAAAATGCATATGGAGCCTCAAAAATCCAGAGTAATCAAAGCAATCTTGAGCAAAAAAGAACAGACCTGGTGGCATCACACTACCTAATTTTAAACTACATTACAGAGCTATATAGTAATTAAAACAGCCTGGTACTGGTATAAAAATTAGAAACATTGACCATTGAAACAGAACAGAGAGTCCAGAAATGAATCCACACATTTACAGTCAGTTGGTTTTTAGCAAGGGTGCCAAGAACACCCGATGGGAAAAGGGCATTTTCTTTAATAAAGAGCATTCGTAAAACTGGATATCCACATATAGAAAAAGGAAATTGGACCCTTTTTCACAGCCTATATAAGAATAAGCTCAAATTGGATTAAAGACTTAAACATAATACCTGAAACTATAAAACTACTTAAAGAAAGCATAGAAGAAAATCTGGGTAATGATTTTTTTTTATTTTACCCCAATGCTCAGACTACAAAAGCAAATAAACAAAAGTAATTACATTTATCCAAAAAGCTTCCGTACAGTAAAGGAAACAATTTTTTTTTTACATTTTTTATTTTGAAGATGCAGGGTATAATTCAGGATTAGGTATACAAATGTTCATTGTACAGGTGCCCTTGTTAATGAAGTATGCCCTACTTCTCACTGACAGTTTCCCACTACTGTCAGTTCCACCCCCCACCTTCTGGGCAGTTTCCAACTACTGCCAATCCCTTTTTTATAGTATTATGATAATCGTTTAAGGTCTGCTTATGAGTGAGAACATGTGAAACTCAGTTCTTTGTTTCTGTGATAGATCACTCAGTATTATAGACTAAGTTCATCCAAGTTGCTGCAAAGTTCATAATTTTGTCATTCTCTATGGCTGCATAGTATTCCATCATGAATATATACCACATTTTTTTATCCAGTCCTCTTTCAATGGGTAACATGGTTGGTTCCATGCTTTTGCTATTGTAAATAATGCAATAAACGTGTGTACAGGTATCTTTTTCATAGAGTGATTTGAGTTCCTCTGTGTATATTCCCAGTAGGAGAATTGCAAGGTCATATAGAAGGTTGATTTTTAGATCTTTTAGGAATTGCCAAACTGTTTTCCACAGAGGCTGTACTAGTTTACACTCCCACCAACAGTGTAGAAGTGTTCCCTTTTCCCTGCGTCCTCTCCATTGTCTGTTGTTTTTGAATTATTGTTGATGGCCATCCTGACTGGAGTTAGGTGGTATCTCAGTGTGTTTTTAATTTGCATTTCTTTGATGACTATTGAGGCTGAGCATTTTTTCATGTATCTGTCGGCTGCTCGTATGTCTTCTTTTGAAAAATGTCTATTCATATCTTTTGCCCACTTTGTAATGGGACTGTTTGTGTTTTTCTTTTGGCACGTTTGAGTTTCTTATAGATCTTAGATGTCAGACCTTTGTCAGATATACAGTTGGCAAATAATTTTTTTCCCAGTCTGTGGGCTGTCTCCCTGCTCTCTTGATGGTTTCTTTTGCTTTGCAGAAGCTTGTCAGTTTGATGAGGTCCCACTTGTCTGTCTTATCTCTTAGGCATGGGCACTTGGGGTTTTGGTCAGGTATTGGTTGCCATTTCCAATTTCCATAATGGTGTCTCCTGCATTTTCTAAGGTTCTTATATTAATAGAATTAAATGACAATAGATCAGGAGAAAATATTTGTTAGCCATACAGCTGACATAGGGTTAACATCCACATATATAAGGAATTAAACAACTCAGCAGCAAGAAAATAACCTTAAAAATGACCAAAGGACCTGAATAGACATTTCTCAAAAGAAGACATAGAAATGGCCAGCAGATATATGAGAAAATGGAGAAAATGCTTAGTATCACTAATCATGAGGGAAATGTAAATTAAAACCACAATGATACCCAGGCATGGTGGCACATGCCTGTAGCTCTAGCTACTTGGAAGGGTGAGGCAGAAGGATCACCTGATCCCAGCAGGTCGAGGCTGTGGTGGCCAGGAGCATGCCACTGCACTCTAGCCTGGGTGACAGAATGGAATTCCAACTCCAAAAAAAAAAGCAAAACGCGCACACACACACAATGAGATTTCACCTCACACCTGTCAGAATGGCTGTTATTAAAATGAGGGAGAAAACACTTGCATACTGTTGGTGAGAATGTAAGCTGGTACAGCTATTATGGAAAACTGTGTGGGGGTTTCTCAAATTACTAAAGATAGAAATACCATGTGACCCAGCAATCCCACTTCTAAGGACTTGAAATCATTGTGTTGAAGAGATATCTGTCCTTCATGTTCATTGTAGCAATATTTACAATAGCCAAGTTATAGAATCATTCTGAGTGTCCGCCAACATTTACCTTGATGAATGAATAAAGAGGATGTGGTATATATACGCAGTGGAATACCATTCAGCTTTCAAAAAGAAAGGAATTCTTTTACTTGCGACAACATAGATGAACCTGGAGAACATTATGCTACATGAAATAAGCCAGGCACAGAAAGACAAACACCACATAGTCTCACTTATATATGTAGTCTAAAACAATTGAAAAATAGAAGCAGAGTAGAATGGTGATTTTCCAAAGACTGGAGGGTGGAGGGGGTACAAAGTTGTTAAGAGGAATAAATGGTTAGTGTTTAAGGTGATGGATATGCTGCTTAGCTTGATTCAGTCATTCCACACTGTATAATATAATATGTATACCCCATAATTTTGTACAATTATAATTCAGCAAAAAAATAAAAATCAAAAAGAGGACATGAAAGAGTTTGTGCAAACTAGCCTTTTGGAGTGACAAAACCTGAATAAAGCTAGGCCATGTAGTAGTCTAAATATGACAAAACCAAACCCCACATGAAGGCTGCCATCACTTGCTAAGGCTTCCCTGTGCCCAAGCAGCACTACACAATGTAATGATACTTCAAACACAAATGTTCCACCATGCACTTCTCAATGAACTTGCTATTGTTGGCACATTTTTTTGATACCTGTATGAAATCCCCTTCTACTGGAATGTAAGCCTGCTTCCTCTATTACTATCTGTTTCTGAAGTGGAGGACCTCTGATTAGCATCCTATTTATAGTAACCATTGCTGTATTTGAAGATAACAGTCCACCTCATTCTCTTGCTCTAAGCATTTTAGTCATATTTGTTGTTATTCTGTAGTCCATCACCAATTTCTCTACATCATTCTCAAAATATGAAAACAGTTAACTTGCTTTTTGAAAAAGATTCAGCAATATATAGCCAATGATCTCATGTACTAGAAGACATCAGGTGTTATCTAATTTTGGTATATCCCTTCTTTCCTATAAATATTTCACATTCCTTTAATATATTCTTTAAAAAGCAGTTATAAACATTTATACATTATAAATAGTATTTCATGGAGCATCAGCTGGTATCATTTGTTGATCCAAATTAAAGCCTTTCCAAACTCATCATCTGGAGGGAAAAATTGCTACCATGTGTACTGTTACATAACCAGTTCCACAGTCAGAATTCCGCTATTAGACTGATCTGATTAAATAGCACAAGAGCAGAAATTTCTTTGCCAAGAATTTGAATGGGGAAAGCAGCATTTTCTGCCATTGCAAAGTGTAAAACACTATTTCAAGATCCATTATTGTTGCATTCACTTATCAGGCAAAACATGTGAGTGGATGGAGAGTCTTGAGACTGAGAGGGACATTGGGAGGCCAGAGAGTGGCACTTGTATGATTCATCCAAGACAGATGGTTGGCCATTTCATCCTTAGTAATCTCTAGGTAAATGGATTGTAAAATTCCTCTAGTAATCCTCCTAGCATCTAAACAGTCTGTAAAATATAATTTAAACATTGTTTTAAGCTCTTTAATGCTTATCAAAAAAATAAATGATGCTGTTTGTACCATTAGGGGGAAAATTGCACAAGATTAAAAAAATAGCAAGCATAGGGAGACAATGTCAGAGTGCAATTTAGTGCATTGGTGCTAAAAATGGCAATTTTGGTTTTTTCTTCTACAGGTCATTATCCAGCTCAGGAAAGCCTGATGTTCCTTGTTCTCTGTATATGAAGGAGCTACAAGGTTTCATTGCCAGAGTTATGAGTGACTATTTTAAACACTTTGAATGCTCAGATTTTGTCTTTGACAACACTGAAGCTATTGCCCAAAGGGCAGTTGAGCTTTTTATTCGTCATGTCAGTCTCATAAGACCTCTTGGTGAAGGTGGGAAAATGCGACTTGCTGCTGATTTTGCACAGGTAAATTGACGCATTGCTATGAAGAGAAAAATGTTGTGGCCTCAATGTTATCTATTAAATAATAGGCTATGTAGTCATCAGTGTTTTTAAAGAGTTGCAACATGAAGAAAAGTAAGTCCACTTAACATAGTTGGTCAAAAAAAAGGGAGAAGATACTTTTATATATTTTATATACTATTTTATATATATATATATATATATATATATATATATATATATATTTTTTTTTTTTTTTTTTTTTTTTTTTTTGAGTTGGAGTCTCACTCTGTCGCCCAGACTGGAGTGCAGTGGCCGCTCCCGGCCACCGCAGCCTCGACCTGCTGGGCTCCGATGATCCTTCGGCCTCAGCCTTCCGAGTAACCGGAATTACAGGCATGCGCTACCACGCCCGGCTGATTTTTTGCTTTATTGTAGAGATGAGGTCTCGCTGCCCAGGCGGGTCTCAAACCCGCGGGCTCAGGCAATCCACTCACCGATACTTTCATACCAGATTTTCTTTCTTTGTGTTTAGCAAAATACTCATTCTTCTTTGGTATTTCAAGGTTAAAGAAAAGTAGCTCATTCCAGTAAAGCAGCAGTTCCCATTTTTACATAATATGAGACGTTCTCACTATTTTACTATCCCACTAGGTCAGTACTGATATAATAATGATTAATATTCCTTGGTGGACAATAATGCAGGCAATGGAAATAATCTTTCAAAGAGTAGAAAGAAAGGCTGCCTGTTGCCATGTAAAAAAAAAAATCCCCGCACATCTGTAATCCTACAGTGACCTGCTCAACGTTTCACAACAGTGTTCTGATTCATTTAGATGTACCAGTGGACCAGATAGATTATTTATACCAGATAGTCTGATTATTTGTTCTCTATCAAGTGGAGTGCCTTTCTTATCTTTGGCTAGCCTCGAAATCATTCCAAGCTCTCTGATGTATGTGAGATAAGATGAGATTAAAATAACAAAACATAATCACTGTGGAAGGACTTTGTTTCATTGTCCTTTAGACAGATTTTTGAAAACCTTTCAGAGTATCAGAGGTAGCTAAGAAACACCCCAAACATACTTTCATTAAAAGATTCAGAAACAAAGATGATTCCTATTTATACAGCATGTCAACGGTAAAGTCATTTTTTAAACCTTTCCAGCTGTTAGCTTTTTTCAACTAAATAGTTATTCAAATGGAATCTTCATAGCAGTTTGCCAGATCCTCTCTGCTTATAAAGATAAATGTTAATGTCAATATTTATTCTTGTGTGTATTTGGGAATGTGTCTTGGTTCATTATTTCTGCAGGAAAGGACCCAGGCAGGTGATAATTATCAGGTGTTCCCTCAGACTTGATACACTTACAAAAAAGAACTGGTAACCTAAACTTTCCAGAGCTAGGCTCTTTGCATATTAATTGATGTAGCAATTTGTCATTCTCATCCAAATTCATCTAGACCACGGAAAAGAGCCTTCCTTTGGGAAATATGTCTTTAGTAGCCTCAGCATGAAAATAGAAAATAATTGTTTCCATTAATGTGGTTCTTTTTGCCTTTTCCATCTTTATGCACTTCATTCTTGACACCTGTACATTTTACTTTGTTTTACAGGTAAACTCAGCTTGAAGAAAATTACATGTAGTGTCTTCCTTGTCCATTACTGTGCTGACAGGCTGCCTATTGAAATGAAAACCCAGGGATGTGCTAGGGCCTGCTCTTATTTGTTAAAAAGCATTGTAAGACTGAGTCTCTATCCTCCCCTTTCCCTCCCTCCTGAATTATGTTTTTCTTTCCCTATCCTCTTCTCCCCCAGCTCCCTCCCCTGCCAGCTTATTTGCATTCTGCTCCAGCTGGTTCTTGAGTCACTTTCCTGGAGGCAGCACTTCAAGTCCAATTAGAGTGGCAGCCGAGCAGGAGACGGCCAAAACGAGAGTGCTGGAGGAAAGAGGCTTGTTTTTTTTGTTTTTTTTTTTAATTTTAGTGATACTTCCCTTATGAGTCTTGAAAGATGGAGAGTGCTGTCCTTTAACCCTTGCCATGGCGCCTGCTCCAGAGGCACAGCATCCTGCTGCAGGGAGGAGCTTCCACCTTCCAAATCCTGCATTATTCAAAATTTGATTTGGTATTTCTTGTTTCTTTTTTTTTTCCTCTTTTAATTTTTATTTTAAAATTGTGGGGTACAATTGAGGGTTAGGTATACAAATATTCATTGTGCGAGTACCCTTATTGATGAGGTATGCCCCCCTTCCCCAGACACTTATCCACTACTGTCAATCCCACCTCCACCCCGCAGTTGCCTGCTACTTTGAATCCTTTTCTTAGAGTAGGTATTTTTTGTTTCTTAAGACATGTTGCCCAATAAGCCAAACTTTTCCCAGGTCCTTTCCCTTAAGATAAATGAACCTCATCAGATATTACTAAAATGCTCAAAGGCCTGTGTTTTCTACTTCTTAAACATAGAACAAATGTTTATACAGTATTTACTCAGTGTAATGAGTACTTTCTAGCCCTGCGGTGACATTTGGTTGCTTCAGGCTGTGTGGTATTGAGAAGCAGATTTCTTTATCTGCCCTGTACAGTATGTCCCAGTTTCAAAACATCCTGCCACTCACCTTGAGTATGGCTCCGGGCCTGGGGGTCATGGGCACAGGAAAAACAGGAGAAAGCACTGTCATAGTCAGTCATATTTGTTATCAGTCTCTTCAGCAAATACAGGGGGACCCAAAAAATACTGGAATTCTCTTTTTTTTTTTTTTTTGAGGGTGGGCCCCTTGTAGTATGTTCGGAATTTGTTCTTCTGGATTAAACTGTCAACAGGTGTCTAGTTCTTCCACCATGACAACGCGCCTGCCCACACCACGCTGAGTGTTCAGCAGTTTTTGACAAAAATGGCATGACCCCCGTGCCCCACCCTCCTCATTTTGTCCTGAGTGACATTTTGTTGTTTCCCTATATGAAAAAAGTCCCCAAAGGGAAAAATTTTGCCAATGTGGAAGAGGTGAAACAAAAAACAGCCAAAGCTCACTAAAAGGCATCAGAATTGATTAGGTAAAAAACTGTTTTTAGCAGTGGAAAAATCATCTCAATAGGTATATTGCATCAGATGGAGAGTACTTGGAAGGTGAGTGAAGTTTAAACATGTAAGAATAAATACACATTTTTTTATAAATAAAGTTTAGGTTTTTTGGACTCCCCACTCGGATTGTCCAACTGTTATGTCATGATCTCCACCACCTATTTTTTAAAAATTAAAATATGGATTTGGGGGTTTTATTTTATTTCTGGTTTGGTTTCTTGCCACAACTGCAGTTATATGTTATTGTACCTCAGCTTTCAGCATCACACTTGGTTGGAAGTATTTTTTCTAGGGTCTGTCAAAACACTTAAATAGAATTACCCTAACATGTATATTCATGACAGGCATCAACTAGGGATTAGAAGGTTTCTCATCTGCCTTCTTATTGAAAATTCTATCAGTTTGTATTCAGAATTAAACAAAGCCATTGAGGTTACTGGAATCAAGAATACAAAAATACTTTATACATTTGAAAACTGTTCTTGTGATAACTGAAAGAGGAAGGGACCAGTAGTGTAGGTTTGGGAATGCTGGTTATTTGGCATAAAGTCTAATTGCAAAAACAGATAATGATACATTTTAAGGATTTCTTCACAAATCCTAACTTCTCCCTGCTGGCACAAGTGCAGAAAAAAGAAAGTAGTTACAGGGTGCCATCTGGAGGGCTCATGGTGAGGGAAGTACCCAACATACAGCCCCCTTAGGAATCCAGGTCATGGGCATGAGGTGGTTTCCTACAGGTAATTAATTCCCTGCTGTGACCACATGGTCTCAGTGTCTACACTGACCACACAGCAGTTCTGATAGCACCAAGCTTGTCCACGGCACTGGGTTCTGCCGATTCTGAATCTTGTTGGGGTCTTGCCCACAGTGCCCTCTAAAGCACACAAGCCACCCCCTCAGTGCCACTCCCCACCCCTCAGTTTCTTTTCTTCCCTGAGGGAAAGGATGACTGCTGAAGTTGGCATTAAATTATTTAGTGGTACTTCTAGCAGTTTCTATTTATAAGTCTTCTGGTGTCCTTTGTACTTTTATATTTATTTCACTTTGTGCCCGAAAATATAAATTGGAAAACAAGACAATCACAATTCTAATTTCTGTTCTAATTCCTGTTGCCTTTTCTTTTCCTGAACAATGTCAGGGCAGGAGTGCCCTAGGAGTATCCAGAGATGCCCTGTGGTTAACCAAATGTCTGTGGTGGGGAAGGAGCATCTATGTAATTAGTTCACGGTGCCGGCAGCTGACTACTCATTCTCTCCAAACGGGGGCTGGAGAGAGGCAATTGTGTGTGCCATTTTTGTATCCACAGCTAATTGCAGAGTCACCTCCTCTGAAAGGAACACTCCTGCCCTTTAAAACATGGCCTTTATAATTTAATGGAATTCTGGCAGAAGAAAACAATTTTCAAGATCTTAGAGTCCTTTATGTATGAAAATTTTATTTTAAACTTTTAACATTTTGAAATTGTCCTATGGCATAGACATCTTTGCATCGTCATAGATTTCACAACCATTCAAGGTCATATTTTCTTATATAGTAACATTTTCCTAGCCATTTATCTGTTTTAACATTTAGACCTGCTCAAGTGCTAAGGCAAAGCTTGTTTCGTTTGATCTGTGAAGACAGTGAACCCACTAAGGTAATTGAGAAACAATTGACAAAAACATTTCATAAAAAATACATCACATAATTTTGGTATGTAGAAAAACCATTGTGTTTGTGTTTGTATTTAGGTATATGAATGGCATTATCAAATCAAAAATACATGATCATCACATTTGTCCTTTGTGCTCAGTGTAAAGTGAATAATGCATCCTGAAAGAAACCAGAAACTTCCACCTAGTGAATAAACGAAACAGGTCCCAAGGAGCAGCTTGTCACCTGCTCTCTTTTGAGTTGAGAACACTGGCTTCCAGCTGTTTTGTTTTTTGTTGTTGGCAATAATCCTGACTTTTTCTTTCTTAGCTTTTTTCTTTTTAATTATTTATTCTTCTGCATTTTCGAGAATTTTCCAACCTTGAAAGGTTGCCTTATCTAACATACAGTGTACACTCTGTGTCTTTTATATATTAAGAGAGAAATTAATCTGGTCATTATTCCACCTCAAGACCATCTCAAGAAAGCTGCCATCCGATTCTCTCTCTTGACACACTCAGACATTTGATATAGCATGTATTTTTTTCTTAGTACTAATCATTATGTGTGTTTATATGTATATTCATATGTGTGTATATGTCTACTTTCTTATGATTATGCTAATAGTATTGTTTTAATAAATATCCCCTTCATTAAATTTGAGAGTTCAAACAGCAAGACAATCTAACTCATCATCTTATCCTCATGTCTAGCTTGGTGTTCAGCAATAAGGGAGTCAAAATGTTTCTCAAGTGATTGGCTAGGTCTAGTCTACCCATGCAAAGAGATTTTGAGCAATTTTTCATAAAGAGTGGCTAACAGGACAGAAATCTTATATATTTTTCTTGAAGAAAGATGCTGCACTACCAGGGAGCAGCCTATTCTCAGTCATTTTCTTAACTATTCTTTACCAGGGTGCTATTTATAGCAAGAGTTTATCATCTGAGTAGCACGTATGCAAAACATTTGCATATACACTTGGTAGACAAAGAATAGGTAACCTAATAACAAGTAGAATTTGCAGTAAAAGGAGGAAGATAAAGAGAAGTGAAACCAATACTTGCTAAATTATTGAGTCAGGGAGCAAGTTAATTTACTAATAATTATAAACAAAAAGATGTTTTTACACAGATGACAATTGCTGACATTTAATAGCTCTGAGTATATGCCATGCACATAAAACTTTGTGGAATTATGTATTTAATTTGCATTATTCTATTAAATAGGTATTATTATCTTTATTTTACAAATGAGAAACCTGAGACTTAGGTTAAATAATTTGTCCAGAGACACAAACTCATAACTGAAGGTTTAGGATACTGACATAGATGTGCTACAAAAGGCCATACTGATTGATGAAAATTGCCATCATTTATATTGAATATAAAAAGACTTTTTAAAAAAATATGCTTAATGCAGATATCTTACATGCACATACTGCATAGTGGTGAAGTCTGGGCTTTTATTGTACCCATCACTCGAATAGCGAACATTGTACCCAACAGGTAATTTTTCAACCCTCACCCCTCCAACCCTCCCACCTTTTGTAATGTCTATTGTCTATTATTCTACTCTGTACATCCATGCATACCCATTGTTTAGCTCCCACTTATGAGTAAGAACATGCAGTATTTGACTTTCTATTTCTGAGTTATTTCACAGAGAATAGTGGCCTCCAGTTCCATCCATGCTGCCATAAAAGACATGTTTTAATTCTTTTTTATTGCTCAGCCTGTAATCCCAGCACTTTGGGAGGCCAAGGTGAGTGGATTGCCTGAGCCCGTGAGTTCAAGACCAGCCCGGGCAACTTTGCGAGACCTCGTCTCTACAATAAATCAAAAAAATTAGCCAGGCATGGTAGCACGCACCTGTAGTTCCAGCTACTTGGAAAGCCAAGGCCGAAGGATCGCCAGAGCCCAGCAGGTAGAGGCTACGGTGGCCAGGAGCATGCCACTGCACTCCAGTCTGGGCGACAGAGTGAGACTCCAACTCAAAAAAAAAAAAAAAATTCTATTTTATGATTGAATAATGTTCCATGATATACATATAGCACATTTTCTTTATCCAATCCTCTGTTGACAGACACTTCAATTGATTCTGTATGTTTGCTATTGTGAATAGTGCTGTGATAAATACACGAGTGTGGGAGTCTTTCCCTTTGGGTAGATACCTAGTAGTGGATTGCTGGATTTAATGGTAGTTCTATTTTTAGTTCTTAAAAAAAGTGTCCATACTGTTTTTCATACATGTTGTACTGATTTCCATTCCCACCAACAGTGTAGAAGCATTCCCTATTGTCTGCATCCTCACCAATATCTTTTGCTTTTAGACTTTTTGCTAATAGCTATTCTGACTGGTGTAAGATGGTATCTCATTGTGATTTTAAATTGCATTTCTCTGATGATTAGTGATATTGAACATTTTTTCATATGTTTTGTTGACTATGTATCTTTTTTTTAAAAACGCCTGTTCATGTCCTTTGCCCACTTTTTAATATATAGACACACAGTTAGTCTTGAAATCTTTCTTTTTACTGATTTTTTTCCAATGGAGAAATGATCTAAACTTTCTCCTGTTGTGTAGCCAAAAAATATTTTCCTATTTCCATGAAGGAATTGCCTCATTTTGGGCCCTTTAGTAAATAAATGCAAAAATTATCTGAGCTCTTGCCTTTTAATAAATTTAATTGGCTTTCATAGTTTGCTTCGTGGTCCAGATAGCATTAAGTTTACTGCAGACTACAACTTTCTAGGATCCAGGTGTGTCCCAAGTTCACCTTAGAGTCTGACATCATGAGCTATGGAGTATCTTTTAATATTTCAGATGGAGCTGGCCGTGGGTCCATTCTGCAGAAGAGTATCTGATTTAGGAAAGCCCTATCGAATGCTGAGGTCATTCAGGTAGGACCTAATTCCTTGTTCATGTATTTATATCTTGTTGACTATGTATCAAATAAATAAATCCTTTTTTCCTATTCAGGTTAAACAATATAAAATTGTCAATATGCAACCATTGTTGACCTACCACAATGACAATTAATATGATTCATCTTAGAAATTATTGTTGAAATCAGAAAAATTATATGCAATGACTGAGTGTGTGTGTTTTTCTTTTCAAGTTAAATTTCACAAGACTGAGCTGGTAAATTATACTCTTCCTATGGAGGGATATATATTTTTTCTGAAATTTTCATTTCTCACTTTTAACCCTGTCTTCTTCTTACAAGGTCATAAGTTACATTCCGAGATAGAGATATAACAAACTATTTAACAGAGTGTTAAAAGAACTGAGTTCAGTGATGAAATGCAGGGAATGACTGTAAATGTGGTAGATCACTTAGCCTAATGCAGTTGAGCACAAAATTTAGGAGTGAGTTTCCTAGAAACCAATTCAAAAAGAAACATAGGGAGTTAATTCATATTCATGATCTAAGAATATGCCTGTTTAACAGAAATAAAAGTGCTTTTTAGTACTGAACACATAGAGAGCCTTTTGTCAGTTCAGATTTTAGGGAACATTGAAAAACCTAATGACTGAGGTCTTCCATAGCAGATTTTTAGAAGATGAGGGTGTTGTTCCTGTGGCTATTTATTCAACAAACCAGAATTTCCCAAAATTTTTTATATCATGGCATACATAGAAAATATTTTCATTCAAAAAGGGGACCAACCCTGAGGGCTGAGGGGATCAACATAATTCTTACAATGATTTTGTGACCATAGCATACCAGTTGGGAAGCCTTTATGTAAACTATCCATAATACCCAGGAGCATAATGGTCTTTGAAGGCTTTTCCACAAAGATAAGGTAGTAGAGTTCAGGTGTGCAGCTTTCTAAAAACCAACTAAAGCTGAGCGCAGTGGCTCTTGCCTGTAATCCCAGCATTTTGGGAGGCCAAAGGGAGAGCCTTGCTTAAGCCCAGGAGTTTAAGGTCAGCCTGGGCAACAAAGTGAGACCCTTTCTCTACAAAAATTCAAAAAATTAGCCAGGCTTGTTGGCACCCAATTGTATGTAGGCATGTCTACCTACTTGAGAGGCTAAGGTAGGAGGATCACTTGAGCCTGGGAGTTCAGAGCAGTGGTGAGCTATGATTATACCACTGTACTTCAGCCTGGGCAAAAGAGCAAGACCTGATCTGGAAAAAAAAAAAAAAGTGAAAACCAACTCAGTACTGGAAACTAGAGTTAATCAATGAGCAGTATGTCCTTTAAATGATCACTGTGCTCTTATGTCATCAAGCTTGGTAGTCGAAAATTCAGATAAAATATAAGAAAAATAAGAATACAGTATTTTTTGTTGAGAGGGGAGCCCTATATTTTACCTTGCCTGTTTGTAATTAGCTCAGGTCCTTTTTTTTCTTTTTTCCTTAATGCCAACACCAAGATTTTACTTTTTTCCGAATGAAGGATTGCTGCCCTTCCATACACAGCTGGGTTTCAGGAAAACTTAAACTGAGATCCTAAGTGTTTCCAGATAACTTCTTTGGAGCAGCTCAGATCTTTTAAAAAGTATTAAAGATTTTGTTGAGTTTTAGAGTTCTGCACTACCAGACATGGACGAGTTGAAAGAGTATGAGGTTACCAGTCCACCAGTCATTCTGTACTGTAAAAATAATCTTAATAAAATTCCTGTGCAGTCTTTTACTTTGTGGAAGATGATAGCACAGCAATCTCAGCTGAGTCAGTGAACTTACTAGAGGATATTAACCATCTAGTTATTGAAAAAAGTATGAGAAAAACTGTCATTTGGCATTGAAGATTAGACTGTTAATTTCTATAGTTCCAAACCTCACATTTAGACGTTTTGTATGGCATGTGTATGTGTAAAGCAGTGCTTATCTTGTTTGCTGAGGCAGAGTGGCCTTCGTCAGAGCATTTTTAAAGCTGCCTTATGATATGGAGGAGATACAAGTTCTGAGGGTGAATTTCAACTTAAGACCAATTCTGTTTCAAGCCATTGAAGACGGGAGTTTTCTCTCAACCCTCCCAATGCTCACATGAGAAGAAGAATCTCTAAAGGACAGTCTTTTAAAGTGTGAAACATTTAAAGTTTAGGTAACACCTTCTAGAACCTATTTATGGAATCAAAAATTAATGATTGATCAATGTATAATTTTAACAATCCTAAACTTTTTATCTCTAGCTTCTCATGGATTTCAAATCTTTGACCATGACTCACAGCAGGAGATATTTTCTATTGCAGTTTGGCATGTACTTGCATGCAAGCTTGCAAACACATGCAAGCCTATATATGTGCACACGCACCTCCATGTGTATGGCTCACAAAATAGTCAGTCACCTTTACCTCAAGTGACAGTCCCTGACATTTTTATTTCATTTGGATATTCTATTATATCCAGCAATTTCTCAGCTTTCTCACAGGGCCCTTAACTCTTGAACTTTTGCTCCAGTCAAGGAAGGGGGGTTTTTCCTTTCTACAAACTGTGAAGATGTATGCCCTTTTTTCCTGGGATTCTGGTATCCTTGAACTTCCTCCTGCAGATGATGCCTTAGCTCCCAAGGCCTCAAGCACATAAAAATAATTGTATCTTGTTTGTGGAGTATCCTCCATAACTTAAGTTAATTGAAAAATTCCAATAGAGATGTATACATACTAATAATATATTCCTACAATTATATCATATCTACAGAAATCGACTATATTGATCCTAGCACTTGCTCAGTTGTTTGGTGGGACTAGGACAATTGTTTTACAGAGTCTAGGATTAACTGCATCATGAACTAAAACGGAAGCATAGCATGTTAAGGGGTTCAAACCCAGCTCTGGTCTGCAAAGTATGTTTTCAGTCCCATCACTTGAAAAGAAGAGAGATGTGTGCTTATGCTGCTTTCTCTGCCCTGAGCTGTTGTTGGGAGAACCCTGGGCCCTGTCAGCCTCTTTGCAGTTGTCATATGAAGGGAATTGACTTGGGAGAGCTTACCATTGTGGAGGATCCCACCAAATCCCCTCCTAGAGAGAATAATACAGAGCCATCTTTATTCTTTTTTTTTTTTTTTTGAGTTGGAATCTCACTCTGTCGCCCAGACTGGAGTGCAGTGGCCGCTCCCGGCCACCGCAGCCTCGACCTGCTGGGCTCCGGCGATCCTTCCAAGTAGCTGGAATTACAGGTGCGCGCTACCAGGCCTGGCTAATTTTTTTGATTTTATTGTAGAGATGAGGTCTCGCCTGCCCAGGCAGGTCTCGAACCCGCGGGCTCAGGCAATTCACTCACCTCGGCCTCCCAAAGGCGCGGGATTACAGGCTGAGCCACCGAGCCCGGCAATCTTTATTCTAATAACTTAATCATAACTCTGTTTTGCCTACCTGTAAAATCTTGTTAGAGATCTGTCTCTTCTCCAAAATTAGTCCTGAGCGGTTACAACAGACAGGTTTACAGTGCCCACGCCAGAGTGTTGTGGTGCAATCATATTTCACTATAAACTCGAACTCCTGAACTTGAGATCCTCCCACCTCAACTTCCTGAGTAACTGGGACTATAGGCCTGTGTCACCACACCTGGCTAATTGTACTTTTTGTAGAGGTGGAGTCATGCTACGTTACCCAGGCCGGTCTTGAACTCCTGACCTCAAGTGATTCTCCCCCCTCAGTCTCCCAAAGCACTGGGATTTCAGGCATGAGCTACCATGCCTGACGGGGCTTCCTCTTATTAACATGTGCACTTCTTCCATCTGTGCTGTGAGCTGTGATAAGGAATAGGCATCATCCAGTGACCGTGTAAACATTAGACCTTGGCTCTCATTCATGGATCTCTTCACCAAAGGCTCGAAATCACATGAAAACCGGTTGAATGGTGGTCAGTAGGGGATTGGCTAAATAAAATATGCCACATTCATAGGGTTAAATATATGCAGCCATTAACAGTTATGTTGTTAGTTCATATCTAGTAATATGAATAATACTAGTGCATCACTAAATGAAAAAACAGGCTACTAAGCAATATATATGGTATGATCCCTACTATTTTAAAAATAATAGTATTTGTTTGTATGGAGAAGAAAAGCCAGAAAGGAAAAACATCAAAATATTATCTTTGAGTAGGATTGTCACTATTTAGGGTTTTCTATATTGTTCAAACGTTCTGCCTTAGTTGTTTCATTTCTATAGTCAGGAAAGTCAACAAATATTATTTTAAATCCCTCTTACATTTTTTTTCTCATTTAAAAATAGCAATGGGGCTAAAAGATAGTATGAAATATACTAAAACATTACCCAATAAAGGGTAGGGGAGGGTAATGAGAACTGCAGGCAGCCAAGTAGTCGAAACCCAGTGGGCTGAGGTAGCCACAGAGGCCCTTGGCCTGAACTAGAGATGGGGGTCACAGGGGAGGGCAGTGGGCTCAGTGCATGGATCTCTGTAACTGAGGGTGATAGTGCCAGCCAGAGAGCCTCCAGTCCAGACCCCATGGGCAGCACCCACCACATGTGCACATGTGGACGCACACGCACACACACACACACATACACAACATACACATACATACACACTCTCACTCTCACATGCTCTCATGGGCTTTGGCGGGCTCTCCCTTCCCCCATCATGCAGCCATCGGCTGCAGGGCACCTTCTTCTTGATGGTGATATTAGTGGACTATTTATGTAAGCCTGCAAGCTTCTCGCATACATTTACAGTTTACTGTCTACATTACAGTTTCTCAGGCAGCAGGAATCTTTTCATACCCAGTACAGAATTCTACCTCAGAAAGCTGCTGACATTAGTGATTTGTCCCCGGGGGATTTGTATTTCTACACGAGACACATGTGTCAGAGCCGTCGAGACCCCATCTCTGTCCATCTCTCTGCAGCATGGCATTATCCCCTAAGGAGTGTTTGTAAGATTGTTACCTTCACTCCCCACAGCCAGAGACCAGAAAGCGCTGACC